TGGCTTTGACCTCACTATATAGCCCAAGCTAGACTAAGACTTAAGATCTTTCTGCCTCAGCCCCCTAACTGCTGGGATTACAGGCATGAACCACCTGGCCCAGTTAAAATTGACTACTTATTTTTGTCTTTTTGAGACAGGGTTTCCCTGTGTAGTCCAGGCTGGCCTCGAGCTCACTTTGTAGCCCAGGCTGGTCAACGATCCTCTTGCCTCATTCTCAGTGCTGTGATTACATGCATGTACCACCTTCCTGACTTAAAGTTGACTTTTTTAATGTGTGGAAATGATAAAATAGGGATGAGGAGGGGTGTAAGCGGAACACGGGGCTCACCACGCAGTCTGCGTTCTGCGTCAGCCGCTTGAGCGTGAGGAGGGAGTTGTAGGGCTGCACCACCACGTCGCTCATCTCGTCCTGGTTGGGGAACACCGAGTACGTCTGCACGAGCTTCTTGGGGTACCTGGTAGAATTGGAAAAGTGGGGAACAGATGAAAGACAGGAAACACAGCTCTTCCACATGTCTGGCAGTCACTAAATTTGGATGCGGAAATTGGGATCACAAGATCAGAAATAAAGAAGATATGACTCTTTTGTCTTTTTGAGACAGGGTCTCGCTATGCAGTTCAGGCTGGCCTTGAGCTCACTTTGCTGCCCAGGCTGGTCTTGAGCTTGCAATGATACTCTGGTCTCAGCCTCCCTAGTGCTGGGATTATAGGTGTGCGTCACCCACGTGATAAAGACTTGACACTTGGAAGCCTGTGACCCAGAAGGAAGGTCAGAGAGACACTGCCGAATCTAGGTTTCCAACTCCAAACCTGTCTACACTGGCTGGACCTCCGGCAGGGCCGACTCTAGGTGCTGGATCCAAGCCCTGGAGCACGATCCATTTCTCCAGTTGGCTTTACTTTCCCCCTTCTAGGAAGGTAAAGTCATGGGCCATTTCATCCCAGCCCCCACTGGAGCCTTACCTGTCATTCAGACGCTCTAAGAGGTAGGAACCCAGGCCAGAGCCTGTCCCCCCGGCGATGGAGTGACACAGCACGAAACCCTGCGTGGGAGAGGTACAGCCAGTGTGTGGTGTCTAGTGGTAGTGTTTCAAGCTAGACCTGTCCCACAAGTGCTCAGACTCATATCTTGCCGAGCCCTTCTTGTGCCCTCACACATACAGATAATGAGACAGTGCTTTGGAGCTCATGTCCAAGGTACAGGGTGGCTTGTGTGGTTTTAAAAGGGTTGTTAGGCTTTCACCATGCCAGGCCTGACCAGCAGGGCCCAGACACACACCTCGAGACTGTCACTCCCATCTGCCTCCCGGTCAATGATGTCAAAAATGTCCTCGTGGATCTTTTCTCCCTGTACAGACAGAATGAGCAGAGTCAGCAGGACAGGACCACGGGACAAGCACTGTCACCTAAGAATAACCTTTTATGACACTGCAGATTGAACCATGAGGCATCGAACAGAGCTGCATCCTAAGCCCTTTAGTTTTTGTTTCTCTTTTTTTTTTTTGAGACAGGGTCTTGCTATGCAGTTTGGGCTGGCCCTGTGCTTACTTTTATAGCCCCCAGGCTGGTCTCAAACTTGAAGTGATCCTCCTGGCTCAACCTCCCAAATGCTGGGATTACAGGTGTGTGCCACCTTGTCCAGTTCCTGCATTGTGAAACTGGGTTCAAGTCACTAAGTTGCCCAAGCTGGCTTCAACTTGCAATCCTCCTACCTCAGCCTGCAAGGGTTACAGTCCTCCTACCTCAGCCTCCAAGGGTTGCAGTCCTCCTACCTCAGCCTCCAAGGGTTGCAGTCCTCCTACCTCAGCCTCCAAGGGTTGGGACTGCAGGTGCGTACCAGTATGCCTAGCTAAAAAGCTTCTCTCTCGTGCATAGCTGTCTTGCTCTTTCCTTTTCCGCTGTCTTTCCTTCCTGTGTGGTGCTGGGGAGTGAATTCAGGGCCTTGTGCATGCTCGGCAAGCACTCTACCACTGAGCTATCTCCCCCGCCCTGTCTTGCCTTTTTTTTTGGCGGAACTGAGGATTGGACTCAGGCCCTAAGCGCTTATTCTACTGAGCCATCTCCCCAGCCCCCTACCTTGCCTTTTAGAGGCATTAAGAAGCAGTATAGGGAGACAGTTACAAGCCCGTACTGTACACCCAGATGACCTAAGTTCACACATTAGCTCTAGTTCTGTACAGTTCACTGGCTCTGGGCAGATTATTACCTAGTCTTTCTACACCCCAGTGTCCTCCTTTGTACAATGACTATGCAACAGCACAGGTCTAAGGTCCCTTAGAGAAAATTCTTTGGGGCCACTTATATTTTGGAACTCAAAACATTTCAGGTGTTAGAAAGGCAGTTTTGTACATACAACGCATGTTCAGTAAAACCTCTCGCGGGTCTAAGGTGTATTAATCAACTGCACTAACGTTCCTACAATGAAAAGCATGAGGGCTGACAGTAACTTAGAAACCCTAAAATAGTCTGTCTCCATCAGAAGTCGGTTATGCTGCTTAAGGAGGGACGGGCGTCGGAAAGGCAGGTGAGGCACTGAGGACGGCGCTGGGGCACACTTGCGTGGGATCTGGTTTCACCCCTCTAGCACGTCCCCGCGGGTTGTGGGCTGGTTCGGGACTGGCGAGTGACCTGGGAGAACCCACTGGCCCAGTTGTTGCCCGCGCCGCCGCCGTGCTCCGACAGGTAGATGTTCTCCGGGTTGTAGAGCTTGGCGTAGGCGGAGTTCTGGATGGAGTGGATCACGCGCGGCTCCAGGTCCAGCAGCACGGCCCGCGGGATGTAGTGCTCGTCGTCCGCCTGCCGGGAGCCCAGGGGCGGTCACTCGGGGCGGCCACCGGCACCAAGGCGCGGCCGTCCCCAGGGCCCACGGCACCTGGTAGAAGAAGACGTCCTTGCGGTCGGTGCCCTCGGTGGCGAACTCCTCCACGATGCCCTCGGGGCTGATGCCATGCTCGGCGCACAGCTGCTTCCAGAACTCGAAGCCGACTGCGGAGGGGGGAGGGAGGGAGGAAGAAAAGGGGACTCTGGGTCTGGGCAGGTTCGGGGACACCCGGGGGCCTGAGCGCCCGGGGCAGGGGTCAGACGCGGGGTCGGGAGGAGGGCGGGACCCGCCGGCTGGGCGGAGGAGGGCGCCGAGGGACTGGGCCACGGGCCACGGGCCACGGGCGGGCACGGCGCGGAGGGAGTCCAGGCGCCCAAGGGACCTGCGCTCATCGCAGGGCCGTGGCTCCGCGGGGGGCTGGAGGTGCGCTCACTCTGATTGCCGCACTGGCCCAACTGCAGCGTGATGATCTCCCTCGGCATCGCTCCTCAGGCTCCAGCGTCGCGGTCGCTCCCGCCAACACGCTCCCCGCAAGGCGCAGGCGCCGATCAACCAGCCGCTGCCGCGAACTTCCTCTGCTCCAATGAAAACCGAACCCCGGAGAGCGCGCTTCCTCCACCCCGTGGCTTCGCTCCCGCGGACCGCGCGTGCGCAGCGCCGCGCCGCGTGACGCCATCGCGCCCGGCCCCGTCCTCTGCGTGCGCGCGGGGGAGCTCTGCGCATGCGCACCGCGGCGAGCGGCGGGCTGGGGGCCGGCGCGCCTGCGCAGTTGCTGTTATTGTGACTGTCGCCCGGCGGCCGCGGAGGTTGTGGCTGCCCCGGGAGATGGCGGAGGTTGAGGGGCTGGCGGGGGCCCCGGACCCCGTGGCAGGGTTGGTTTTTAGGGGCAGCCGAGCGCCTTCGGGCTCCTGGGAGCGCGACCAGCAGGTGGAGGCGGTGCAGCGAGCCCTGGTGCGGGCGCTGGGGCCGTACGAGCCGCTGCTGAGCCGACTGCAGGCGGCGCTGGCGTGGGAGCGGCCGGCGCGGAGCGCGCTGTGGTGCCTGGGGCTCAACGCGGCGTTCTGGTGAGAGCCGGCCCGGAACCCGCGCGGCGCGGGCGGCGGCTTCCGTCCTGGCCCCGTCCCGCCGCCGCCGTGGCGCCCGTCCTCGTCGGGGCTGCGCCCCTGCCTTCCCGCGCGTACAGCTGACGGGGCGGCAGGCCGTGTGTCGGCGACCCTCGGGAAGCAGGCCGCCTCCCTGGTTCCCGGCCCCAGCTGGGTCGGTGGCGGTCCCCGCCTGGACGGTGGGCGGAGAGGCGCGAGGCCCGGCCTAGGTGCCCGTAGGTGTGATGGGGAAACGCGCCGGCTCGGCTAGCGCGAATGGCGTGCGCGTGAGCCTGCGAAGCTGCAGCTTGGGGGCGAGCTAGGAACAGTGCCTGGGGATTCACCGGTTTCCAAGGCCACTGGTATTGTAGCTTCTGCCTGTCCCAAGGAATCAGGAGGCGTCGAGAGGCCCGGCGTGTGAGGAAGCGAATTGAAGTCTGATGGTGTGAGTTTGCAGAGCTTGACGCCTGGCACGAGAAAGAGATCTTTGTTTGTTTGTTTGTTTTGTTCGTTTCGTTTGTCTTTTTGAGACAGAGCCTCGTTATGCATGCAGCTCAGGCCGGCCTTGCTCACTTGGTAGCCCAGGCCGGTGTCCAACTTACGAAGGTCCTCCTGGAAAGAAATCTTCAGTGTCTGTGTTACGCTGTGGAGGAGGGTCGGCCGCCCCCAGTCGTTATAATCTCCAGTCCACTCGGGTCTTTGTGCAACCTACCAGGCATAGCCGGGATCTCTAATGACCTGAAAGTACTGTAGGTCACATGCCAAAGGAGCCGACAGGCAGGGGATTCTCCACCAGATTGAAATAAGACTAGTCTGGAAAAGCCTGAAACTAAAAAGTGTGGAATTTTTAACATTGCCTTTGGTAAAAACGGCTTTCTTGGTAGGTGTGGTGGGGCACACCTGTTGTCTCTGAGGCAGGAGGATTGCTGTTTGTTGCCAGCCTGGGCTACATAGACTCTGTCTAAAGAAACAAAAACCAAAACAAATAGCTTTTTAAAAAATAAGTTATTGGTTTTAAAATCAAAATGTTATCCTTTGTCTAAAAAACTTTTCAGTGAAGGACTAAAACAAATGATTCCAAGTTCAGTGGCCAGAAGGCATCATTGGTCAGTTTGTTGTTGTTGTTGTTTGCAGAAGCAGGGATTGAACTCAGGCCCTTGCGCTTGCCAGGCAAGCGCTTATTCTACCGAGCCATCTTCCCAGCCCCTCGTTGTTCAATTATTAAGTCAGTCCCCTGCCTGTTGGAAGGAGACCCAAGTTCACAGTGCCACTGCAGTCTCTGGCAGTCCTGCACCCAGAGTCCTTAGCAAACTTATTTTTTGTTTTTTTTTTTTTTTTTAAACTAGGTTTTTTTTTTTAAAGCTTTATTTTATTTATTTATTTATTTTTACATTTATTTATTTATGTGTGTGTGTGTGTGTGTGTGTGTGTGTTTCTGTGTGTGTGGCCAACTCAGCCCACCAGGGGGCGGGGCTGGCTGGCATGTGGTGCTGGGGGATCTAACCGCGGTCCCTGTGCTTTACCAAGCTTGTTCCAAGTAGGTGCTTTAGACCACTGAGCCATCTCTCCAGCCCCTTATTTATTGTCTGAGGCAAGGGTCTTGCTCTGCTGTTCAGGCAGGCCTTGAACTCCTGACCATCCTCCTGCCTCAGCCTCCTGAGCCCTGTGACCACAGACGTGCACCACCGTCATCACCTATGTTTTGGTAATGCTTCTTCCTTGAGCCCAGGTTCCAACTTTCTGGTGCTGATCCTTGTTAGAAACCCTTGACTGACAGCACCTTGTTCAGGAGCGTTTGCCCGCTGAGCCAGTGTGTTGAATGTGGACTCAAGGTCTGCCCCTGTGAAGCTGATCTGACAGGGCGGGACTTGAAATGCCACAGTGAGCTTCCATTTGCTGGCATCCAGCGGTGTGTACTTCAGCTTACTAACACGCTGTGTTTAGAGTCTTCCTCAGAATCTCTTTTGTACTCTTGGTCCCTTTAAAACATGGCTGTGATTAGCCTTCATCTCTAGTATTTCCTGGTAGCTGGCCTGCTGCGAATCCAGAACGCGGCCACTCTTGTTGCTCTCCCTTCACAGGGAGAAGCCGTGGAGGTGCGGCTTGAGACTGAAGGCAGGTGGGGCTGCCTCTGACGGGCAGGAGCCCAGGGCCTGCTGAGGACTGGAGCCCGGCGCAGTCTGGCTTTGGAGTTCGTGGAGTCTTCAGGGAAGGGCGCTTCCTAGGAAGGTGGTTTGGGGTACTGGTGGCCTCATAGTGAGTGAGTGTTGAGATTTACTTTGGAATGCAGAAGGGTAACTCTTGGTTCTCACATGTTTTAAATGTTTGGGAAAGGAGGGAGGATCATTAAGTCAGATCAGGAAAATCAGATCTGGAATAATTTTTCTTTCATTATTTATTATAAATAATGGTACATCATTAACACATGTTTTGTACATTTGAGGTCTTAGAAGATTGGACAGGAATACAAAAAGTCATTGAATTTAGATAGGTAGCTCCCGAAGATGCTCATGGCTTTGCCATAGCTGAACATGCCTTCTTTTGTCTTTTTTTTGGGTACTGGGGAATTGAACTCATGACCTTGAACTTGCCAGGCAAGCACTTATTCTACTGAGCTATCTCCCCAGCCCTTCTTTTGTCTTAAATAGGTGAGGGAGAGAGCTCTTGGCAGGCAGCCTGTGGCATTGCGAGGCTTTCGTACCCCACCCCTCAGGTTACAGAGGAGTTGTGGTGGCCACAGCCAGAGGTGTTCCAGCCTAGGCTACCTCTGGGCACTGACCAGTCATATCTATAAGATAATAGTCAGAACATTGAGCTTCCACTTGTGGTAGCTTGCGTTTGTCCCCTGCGCACTGGGGGCTGAACTCGGGACCTTCACACTTGACTGCATCTTCGGCCTTGCTGGAAATGTGTTGCACACCTATAACCCCAGCCCTCGGGAGTCTGAGGCGGGAGGCTTGCCGAGTTCCGGGCCAGCCTGGGCTGCCAGTGAGACCCTGCCTCAAAAACAGCAGCAGCCAAGTTGGGGTTTTTGTTTGTTTGTTTGTTTTGAGCCAGGGTCTCACTAAGTTGCCCAGGCAGCTTTCAGCCTTGTGTGATTCTTCGTGTTCTCTGGATCGGGGGGATGGAGTGCAGCCCACATGCCGCGTCCCCATGGAGAGCTCTACTGGGGGCTTCCTGGGTGTGAGTGTGTGGCACCCACACTGGAGGCCTGGGAGCTGGAGTGGAATCTGTTGTCACAAATGGAAAAGAGATGTTTCCCCTTCTGCTTTTTTTCTTTTTTAAAGCTGGGCGCGGTGTTGCACACCTGTGATCCTCACACTTAGGAGCCTGAGGTAGGAGGATCACTTGGAGTTTGAGGCTGCCCTGGGCTGCATAGTTCAAGGCCAACCTGAGCTCCATAGTGAGATTCTGTCTCAAAAAACAAAACCAAAAATAGTTCCTGAGAAGTGATGAAGGGTGTGTGGCAATTCTGATTAAAAAAGAATGCAGCATTGTATGGTGGCACATGCCTGAGATTTCAGCTGCTCTGGAAGTTGAGGTGGGAGGTTGCCGTTTCAAGAGTTTGAAAGACAGCCTGGACCAGGTATTGAAACTCTTGTCTGGCAATAGAACAGATTGGGGATGTCACTCATGGATTGAGAGTACCCCAGGGTTTGATCCTTGTTATGGGTCACTCTGCATAGCAACCAGACCAGCCAGATAGAAATTTGAATAGAGCCTTTTATTTACTGAGCTCAGGTGCGTCAGCCACTTGTCTCGCAGGAGAAGGCTGATCGGCCCCGAACATTAGGTAGCAAGGGGGTATTTGTAACAGAAATCACATCTAGTTTGGTAAGCAAACTTGTTATCTAGTACAGAACAACAGAAACTGCATTCATTTGACACAGCTGTAAACTGTTTATAGCTAAAAGGTCTTTTATAGCTTAGTGATAAGTGTATATTTTATTTATTTTTTTATCTTTTTAAAAAATTCTGTGTGTGTGGGGGGCAGCTCAGCCCACGAGGGGGCGGGGCTGGCTGGCATGTGGTGCTGGGGGATGGAACTGCGGTCCCTGTGCTCTGCTAAGCTTGTTTTAAGTAGGTGCTTTAGACCACTCAGCCATCTCACCAGCCCTATAACATATGTCTTAAGCTGACTGTGTTATAGGAGATGGTTGGGGAGGGAGTTTGTGTTAGCTTGCTGCCTTGACAAGAAACAGTTATTAATTGTAGAACAGCCTTGAGCCGAAAGGGAGAATATATTTTTTTAGAGTAGATAACAGAAAGCACAAGGGGTTTTTATAATTGTTTATAGTTAAGGCACAAAACTCTGTTAACCCTTTACAATCCTCAGTACTGCAAACAAACGAATATAAAAAACGGAAGGGCCGGGGCTGGCGAGATGGCTCAGTGGCCTAAAGCACCTACATGGAACAAGCTTGGCAAAGCACAGGGACCGCGGTTCGATCCCCCAGCGCCACATGCCAGCCAGGCCCCGCCCCCTGGAGGGCTGAGCTGGCCACATACACACAATAAATAAACAAATGTTAAAAAAAAAAAATTATTCTTTAAAAAAAAAAAACGGAAGGGCCGACCAAATAGCTCAGCAGATTAAAGCACCTGCAAGCAGGCGCAGGGGCTGGGGTCCCAGGCCTGCTTTGCCGCCCCTGGCCCCTTCCTGGGGAGGGGAGGTTGTGCTGAGACAGCAGTTGAGACTGGGCATGGTGGTACGTGCCTGTAATCCCAGCCCTTGGGAGGATGTAAACAGGTGGATCACTACAAGTCCGATCTAGTAGTGAGACCCTGAACACCCTGTAGACCCTTCCCTAAAAATGCAAAAAAGAAAAAAGAAAAAAAAAAACAAACCCTGAAGTTAGTAAAAAAGTCGGGGATGTAGCCCAGCCACACAGCACTTACCTGGCAAGTGCAAGGTCCCGAGTTCCAGTCTGGAAACAACGACCAAACAGCTGAGAGGAACAGGAAGCGAAAGGCGAAGTGCAGGCATTGAATTGAGGTGAAATCAGCAGAGCAGGTGTCTGGCGGGGTCTCAGAGTGCCCTTTGTGCTTTTGGTAGCCACAGAGCTGCCAGGGAGGTCTCGGTGACCTTGCCCTCCGCCTCAGTTTCCATCTGGCCCAGCTGTAAGGCTCGGGGTCTTCTCCATTAGCAGAAGGCGAGAACCTCAGGGCTGGCTGGTTTCCTGCTGCTGCTGCTGCTGCTGCTGCTGCTGTAATTATGTGATGCAGGTTGGCTTTATTTTTTCCTTTTACTTTACCAGCCTAGCTCATTAACCACAGACGGTCAGAGTGCCGCCCAATAACGGGCTCACTGTCCCTGTGGGAGAGGAGGCTTTGTTCTCTTGCGCCACCACCAAGACTCCCGGCCTGCGGTGACAAAGGAGCCCACGGCTGTGTCTCCTTCGGCTGGAAGGGACGTGGCCATCAGTTACAAGGAGCCCTAGCTCAACCCGCTCTCACAGTGACTACCCTGGAAAGACTGTGTTGAAATTTCTCATGATTTTTCTGGACACCAGATTGCTATTCAAGGGATGATTTATTTATTTATTTATTAAATATTTATTTATTTATTTATTTAGTGTGTGTGTGTGGCCAGTTCAGCCCACCAGGGGCGGGCTGGCTGGCATGTGGTGCTGGGGATTGAACCGCAGTCCCTGTGCTTTGCTAAGCTTGTTCTAAGTAGGTGCTTTAGACCACTGAGCCATCTCTCCAGCCCGATTTATTTATTTTTAAAAATTGAAAAGTTTTTATTAGTCCATGTTTGCAGTAGATGATTATATTAATTGTGGGAAGTTGGCACATGAGCATAGCACATTTTCATTTTTTCATCCCTTTCCCTCAAGGATGTTTGATGTGGATGACAATTTGATTTTAGCCCCCAGTAGAGTGAAGGGATAGTGCACCAAAGGAAGAAAATATGTGTATGTGTGTCTTGCAAGAAAATTTAAAAATTCAAATGTAAATGTCAATAAGTTGCTAATTTTGCTTAATTCTGAGGTGTGTTCTCAGGGCCTGGAGCTGGGGAGTGGCTGCTGAGGGGCGCAGGGCTCTGGGTGACGCAGTGGTGTAGACTCGGCGACGGTGGTAGTTGCACAGTGCTGCGAAAACACCTAGCGCCGCTGCCTGACCCGGTGTCACGGCGCAGGCTGACCACACAAGGTGTGTTCTGGTTCAGATCAAAGCATAAGCCAAAAAGCAAACTAAAGGTAAATAACAGGAAATGAGAGAAATTGGTATTTAGTGGAGGGGCCAAGCCATGGAGGGAGTGGGCATGGAGGGAGCCCTTGTCGCTTGTCATCCCAGCACTCAGAGACTGAGGCAGGAGGAGGCCCTGAGTCCTGGGCCGGCCTGGGCTACTTAGTGAGTTCAAGACTAGCCTGGACTACGGAGGGAGCCCTTGTCAAGAAAGACGGACAGGGGCCGGGGAGATGGCTCAGTAGAATAAGCGCTTCCCTGGAAAGCACAAGGGCCTGAGTTCAATCCCCGGTTCCGCAAAAAAAAAAAAAAAAGAAAGACGGACAGACAGACAGACAGAGAAGACGGAAGGGGAAGGGACGTAAAAAGTAAAAACAAGTTAGCTGGGCTTCGTGGTGCAAACCTGAAGTCCAGCACTCAGGAGCCCAGGGTGGGAAATCGTTGGGAGGTTTTGTACTGGGAATTGAACTCAGAACCATGCACTTGCCAGGCAGGTGCTTGTGCCACTGAACTATACCCCCGCCTGATCCCTGGGAGTTTTTTTTTTTTTTTTTAAATATTTATTTTTATTTATTACATTTATTTATTGTGTGTGTGTGTGTGTGTGTGGCCAGCTCAGCCCACCAGGGGGCGGGGCTGGCTGGCATGTGGTGCTGGGGATCGAACCGCGGTCCCTGTGCTTTGCCAAGCTTGTTTCAAGTAGGTGCTTTAGACCACTGAGCCATCTCTCCAGCCCCTCCCTGGGAGTTTGAGGCCTGCTTGGGGTACATGGTGAGACCCTGTTTCAAAAATAGAACCAACCAAGGGCAGGGGGACTGCGTGTAGTGACTGCGCGTGGTGAGAGCAGTTGCTGCGTGCTGCAGACGTGCTGGTGCACATAGCAGTTAGCAGAGACGGAGGCGTCGGGGATGTAGCTCGGCGGTGCCG